CTATGGGGCGGTCGGATCGAGTGGGAACAGCCTGTGGGCAACCACGTCTGTATTCAAAGGATGTGGAACTGGGACAACAGAGGTGAGTGCCACTGGGCTGTCCAGTCTGACCCTCCTTTGAGGTTATTGCCGTTGCGGCTTTTGAAGCAGCTTCTGCACCGCTGCGGTTTCCAGCGTGGCGTGTAGGTACAGGGAGGTCTCTCTTTCCCCTCGTTGCCAGCACGCGTTTGTGCGGGGTTCTGCGTGCGGGAGGCGGCGGGAGCGGGCAGGCAGGCAGGCAGGCAGGCAGGCTGCCGCTGCGTCGCCTCCCCGCATCACACAGCCCGGGGTTGAGTGTCAGCGCTCGTGGGTGCCGGTGGAGCCCTGCCGGCTTCTGCCTGGGCTGCGTTGCTTGTGCTGGATTCTGTAGGGTAAAAAGTTTCACTGGTAGAAATCTGAAGGTGGAAAAGGTTAATGCCAAAAGGCTGTGGTATAATAGACACCATTCTAGAGATTTTGTACCTCATCCAGAATTTTCAAGAAACCAGTTGAGTTCAACTTTGATTTGATTTTGATAATCATTTAACTTCTGAAGACTGTCTGTCCCTTATTGACACATATGAAGGAGTCTTTATTACATGCAATTGCTGCGGGGTTTGTTGGGTTCCTAATAAAGTTTTTGTATAGGAAACTTAAATGAAAGCTGTTTCCTTGCCTCTGTATTATTGTGTTAGAGCTGGTGACAGATGCTTCAGAGCTTTCTGGATCACAGTAAGCATTATGGGGGCATGGGGGCTTCTGTTGATTTTGGGTTTTGTTTGTTTAAATGAATTCTCTTATCCGGAAGGACTAGTGTTTGAGCTGGTTAATGAATGAGAACCTGCGGCATCCGCAGCAAAATGCTGCCTGTCAGCACAGGCGAGTACGGCAGCAGGGCAGGGGGTATGAAAGGTGCGTTAGCGTGGCAGGTTGTGGTACCGGCGGGAAGTACGGCGGAGATGGCACCGGGAGCTGCTTTAGCTGAAGCAGCTGAAAGCAGAGACCTTGGGTCTGTGCCTGCTCTTTGCAGAGGCCTGTTGGGAGATGGAAGCGGAGGAGATGAAGCTCTCTGAGCATGAAGAGCAGGTGTAATATTAGTCATTATCTTATTTCCCAGCACTCGCCTGGTACAGCTTTTATTCAGTACGTGAGCATATTCTGTTTGAGGGTTTTTTAACAAAAAACTTATCAGAAGAACAGATATTACAAACAACTGAAAAATAGCAAGACGCTATCTGTGTAACTTGGAGTTGTCGTGTTGAGTTTGTTCCTCGTGATTACTTTCCTATGTTTGTGTAGCGTTGTTGTACAAACAACTTAGAGATGTACTGCACAACTTTGGGGAAATTTGTGCTTTTTTTTCTTCATGTAATATTTCTAGTGTGATTCACAAGGAAACTTTGGATTTTGGTTGATGCAGTAAAGGTTTTTTAACCCTTTTTTAACTAAAGAAGTAAAGGTCATCTGAATAAAAGACAACTACATTATTTCTTCCCTTTTAAAAACTTGGAGGTTTTTGTTTTATTTTTCAGAAGTACTGATAAAATGTTTACTTAAAAGGCCCAGGAGAATATGCCATCCTAAGATCATGATTTCCTTGTTTTAAAAACAGAAATAAGTGACTTCCAAAGCTGTCTGGGAAACTACGTTTCTCAAAGTAAACTGATGTAGGCGATGATCACTGAGACTTGTAGTCAGTGGTCGGTATGCCTTGCGCTGCTCTGACTCAGTCCTACTCAATGAAAACGCGACGGTTTAACTCTGGTAGGTGTGTACCTGGTCTTCGAGATAAGACTTGAGAACAGGCTGAAGGAGCCCAGGGGACAAGAAGCGCGGGTGAGTGTCGGCCGTGCTGCCCGCGCCGCTGGCCCCGCCGCCCGTCCCTCGGCAGCCG